CTACAATGCTTGGCAAATAACACACAGACTCAGATATTTGCTGCTAACAATTAGCTCTGTAACGATGACCGAGACAGAGGACTCTGCTCTAGCTTCCCTCCTAGACTGCAAACCTAAAGTTAACTTGATAGGACAACAATATGGCATCAAAGCAGTTTCTCAAAGGCCTACCCTTCAGGCACCCCACATTTGCTCTAGTCTCTTATCACTGTAGTGAATACTCAAAGACAACACCAAAAGGCTAAAAGCCTCTAGGTACTTTTTACACATATTTCCTTCTGATTCCTTTCAACAGATAGTATATAGTAAAACCCAACTGAAGCAAGTATTCCAAAAATAGTTCTAGCTATCAAAGTTATTTCTATATCACGATGGATGATCCCATTTGAACAGTACTCTGGATTTGGTTACAAATTTTCTAAAAGGTTCTTTCCTGTACAATGTGTGCTTTCTCTGGTCTGTGTCCCTATTAAACTTATCTAGATGGACTGAGATCAAGTAAGACCCGAGACCTTTCTCCAATGTATGTATATATTTAGAGGCAGAAAGGCAATTAAGAGTGGTAAGCTTCAACTCAAGAAGATTTAGGTTCAAATTCCACTTTTGACACTAGCTAGCTATGTGATCTTGGGTTAGCAGCCTGGTCTTAAAAACATTAAAAAAATAATAACAGCTAACATCTACATAGTGCTTAATATGTTCCAGGCAATATTTAGCACTTCCCAATTATTATCTCATGTGGTCCTTAACAACAATTCTGGGAGGTAGGTGCTATTATTCTACCCATTTTACAGATGAAAAACTGGGGGCAAACAGAGGTTAAGTGACTTGCTCCGGGTCACTAAGCTAAGTGTCAGAGGTCAGTTTTGAACTTAGGTCTTCCTGACTCCAGGCTTAGTGGTCTATCCACTGTGCCACCTAGCGGTCCCCTTATAAAACGTGAATCTATATGTCAGCTAACACGAACATTTAAATACACACAGAACAGGATGGCATATAAAACTGAACTTCTGTTATACATATTTTAAACGTATATTAAACTTAATTAGCAGCTAGGTGGCATAGTGCATAGAGTGCTGGGCCCGAGTAAGGAAGATCTGACTTCAAATTCAGCCTCAGGCACTCAGTAGCTGTATGACCCTTGACAAGTATTGTGTTACTCATCTTTCTCAGTTTCTTCAGATCTGTAAAATGGGGAGAATAGTAGCACCTACCTCCCAGAACTGTTGTGAGGACCACATGAGATAATATCTGTAACGGGCTTAGAACAGTGTATGGCACATAATAAATGTCATATAAATGTAGTTATTATATTAAATTTAATACAATAGTAATAAAAACACCCTGCTTGCCTGTCTCCTGTTTTCCTCAGTTTCTTCATCTCTAAAATAGGGACAATAATAGCACGTACCTTGCAGGGTTGTTGTAAGGATCAAATAATATATTTATAAAGGGCTCAGCATAATGGGTGAAAAATAGTAAGTACTATATAAATGTTTATCCCCTTTCCTTCCCTCCTTCTGAACTTCCTTCTATTCTCCTGTATTTTTTTTTAAATCTCTGATGCTCTTTTCCTTTTCTTCTTTTTTTGTACCATTACCATCTACCAATTCTCTCCAACCCTTCCTAAAAAGCTCTCTCTTGTAACTAATAAGTAGAGTCAAATGAAATAAATATCACCTTGGCCAGGTCTATATGAATGTCCTTTTCTGCACTTCTATTCCATCATACTTTGCCAAGAGGTAGGAAGCATGTATTTATCATCAGTCTTCCAAAGCCAAGAGTGGTCTCTGCACTGACAATAGTTTTTGAGTCTTATGATAATGTTTCCTTTATGTTATTATGGTCACTGTACAAATTCTTTTTTTGGTTCAACTCACTTCTGTTTACATAAGTTTGTATAAATCAGTAAACACTTGATCTCTGACTGTCTTGGGCCATCATAACATTTAACATTTATATCATTTGATCTTTACAATAATTCTTATTTACAGATGAGAAAAGTAAGGCTCAGAGAGGTTAAATGATCTGGTCAGGGGCACAAAGCCCACAGCAGAAGCAAGAATTGGACCCAGGTTCTCCTGACTTCAAGTCCAGTCCTTTCTGCACTCTATACCACTTTTTAGTTAACTCCCTGGGACTCATCTAGTACATCACAGATGGGTTTTGATCTGCTTGATGGAACAAATCCTCACACTGAGAATTCCCTACACTGACAAAATCACAGCTCCTTCCTCCATGACACACACTATTTACATAGCAGAGCTGAAGAAATATCACCATGTAACTCACAGCAAGAACAGGGGCAAACTGGAGATCCGGTAAGTGGAAATTGTACTATATAGGCCACCATTCCTTTCCCTTCCAATCATGATAACAATAACAGCTTCACTTCAATTCAGTAGACATTAACTATGTACTTACTAACCTGAAGATACAGTGGTAGGCACTTCTCACAACTTTTGCTCACTTGTGTGACAATGTCAATTATAAGAGGTTTAAACAGATAGATCTGCTTTATGACAACTCACTTTTCCAAAAGCTTTTCAGGAAAATATTGTATAGCACTGAATGGGAGCTATCAGGTTGGCCATAGAATTGCTTCTGCTATTCAAACTGCAAGAAATAACCAAAGACACAAAGCCAGATTTGGGTAAGGAAAGGAATAAGATCGGTGAGTGGATTAGGTGGCTTATATGTATGAGTTTTTTTGGTTCCTAATGGGTTCATAGCATCATTTCCACTTTTTAATTCCTTTACGAGGAAGCACCTACAAACCAAGCAATGTACTCAGAACTGAATTTCAAGATGATTTTTGATTTGTACATTTTGGCATTATCACAAGGTTAAATGTCCTGAGAAGCATATCTTAGTGGATAGAGGGATGGCCTTGGAGTCAGGAAGACCTGGGTGTATATGTCACAGAAAAGCTGCCAATCTGCAAGGATTGAGAAACATTTCCAGGAGTTTCAAAAACCTATGAAATGAGAGTTCTGTACAAAGAAAACAAAATCTCCAAACTGACCTAAATAAAATAGCTACGATAAAAGAAACTTGTAAGCACATTTAATCTTACAAGACACATTCTTTGCATTTCAGAAAGGCAGTAGATTAAAAATATTACTAAAAAATAATCTCAGTTCAAGTTAACCATTTATGAAAGATAGGTCTGAGTCATGTGTTTTTTCCATATGAACCAATTAAAGGGCTCAGATTCAACAGAAAATAACCCAAGGGAAATAATCATTGCCAGATGGTCCGAATCAAGTCAGACTTTCATCCTATTTACCTTAGACACAAAGGAAAGTTAACAAGCCATTTTATATATTCAACTCCTGACAACAGTATTATTAAATCTGAGAGTATTGAGAAACTATACTTTTCCAAAAAATGGAAACCAAAACAGGTGCCTGGCCTAGGAGCAGCAAAATAAAGCTAAAAAAGTCATTTGCATTGACCAATGTGATAAAGCACCCACTGTCATATCTTCCCCATAACTGGGAGGAAAAGGGATACCAAATATCACTACACTTTTCAGAGCTATCCCGGGAAGACCTTTAACATGCCCAGTCACTTTTAAAAGTCCCAGAACTTGAAAGTACACTTTTGAATCATCCACCCTGACTGTAATATGACTTTTTCCTTGCAGTTTCTCATTAACTTAGAGCAGAGGTTTGGTTTGAGTTGGGCCGGTACAGGGCCTGGTGATGTCACCAGTTTCCTTGTCTGATTTCGATTCCACCTCTCACCAATGCCTATCTACCTACAGGTCAATCTCGTTAATTAATGGGGTTAAATGCTGTAGGCCGGATCTAAGAAACAATTTGCAATCGCCTACACTAGATGTTGCCTGGTTTCCCTACAGTGGTAACAAGCCAAGCTAGCTTACTATGTCACCAATTCACCTTGGAAAAAAGTCACTCTGTTTCAGAGGGACAAAATGTCTATTTTTCCCAACTCACTGCCTCGGGCAGTTTAGTTAGGCCACACGGTCTCTCAGATCAAGTGCCAACAAGGAATCGAAACCGAAGTACCCTTTAAGGAATTATCCCAAAGCCCCATGCGTATTCCGGAACGGTTGACAGTGACATACTTGACTTTATTAGACATGGCCTACATAGAGACCCGGGAGGAAAGTTCTGAAGAAACTAATCTCTTTTGCATCTGCACTTTATTTATTTATTTATTTATTTATCTTTTAGGGGGAGGTGTGATCATGGAGGTAAAACCGAGGAACTGTGGCACTCAAAGGAACTCGAAGTCCAAGTTGCTTCATGTGTTTAAAAAAACAACAACAAACTAGACTATTTCCCCCACCGACCGCACGCGGCGTATAGGGGAGGGGAGGGTGGCTGGGCAGAGCACTCTTGGCTTCACTGCCGACCGCAAACAAGGAAAGGGGGTGGTGGGGTGAGGAAAGCCAGTTCCCAAGATACAGATCAGCCGGCCCCGCGTTCCCAAAGCACACCCCAGCCTCGAGTCCTTGGAAGTTTCCCACTGTCCTCCCCCCCTCCCCCCCCCCCCCCCCCGCAATCACTTGATAAACGAGCAGAGACTCTGGGGCCAGTTGGACCAGGGCCCGGAGTCGGAGCCCAGGGGGTGTGGGGGGGGGTTTAGGGGAGGGGGAGAGATCAGGACTCTTCCTGAGCCCGTCCGTCCCGCGACTCCAAAGCGTCTCAGCTCGAGTTCGCTCGATCTCCCTCCGTCCGTCCTTGCCTGCCTACCTAGCTACCTGCGCCGGGGCACAGAGGAAGGCAGAGGCGGCGGCTCCCGGAGAAGGCACTCAGCAGGCGCCGGCGCCGACCCAGACCCAGGAGCGGCCGCGGCCGCAGACTCCCAGTCAGTGCTGGCCCCTACTCGGGCCCCCTCCCGCCCCACCCCCACCTCCCAGCAACCCCGCCCTACCACACCCAGCTCCCAGCTCTGCTCCCTAGGCCGCACCGGCAGAGCCTTCTTCCCTCCACCCTCTCCACACCCGCCCGCTCCAAGGGAAAGGATACTTTCCATGTTCGACATGGTCCAGCCGTTTCTCCTGGGGGTGCTGGTGGGTGGCTGTAAGGCACTGGAGCTGCGCGGGCCGTAGGCTGCAAGTCACCGGAGCTCCAGCGCTTCCACTCGCCTGGAACCAACAGCGCCTCCCGTTTGTTTGGGGAACCCACTTCCGGCTTTGCTGCCGCGCGGGGCGGCGGGTGCAGGCGTCAGGCGCCTGAGGGGCGGGGCCCAAGCGCTCCAACCGTCCCAACCCTCCCAACGGTCCCAACGGTCCCAACGGTCCTGGTCCCAACCGTCCCAACCGCCACAACCGCCAGCTGGGCCGCTCAGGGAGCTACCGACAGGGGCGCCTGGAGCGACCGATAGGTGCACACAGAGCGACCAATAGGGGCGCCCGCGCGCCCCTGCCCCTCCCCCAGCCCTTCCCAAGTTCCTCGAGCCTCTCTCCTTTCTCCCCTCCCCCGCGCCTCGCGCTCTTGCGTTCCCGCCTTCGCCTCATTCGCCGCCCTTGCTGCCCCCGCCCCCAACCTCCCTTGCCGGGCCCCTGCACGCGCCTAGCCTTCGGTTGGGTCGTAGCCTCAGCGGTTACTACTGGTCTCCTTAGACGTTTCGGACCAGTTTCCAGTTCCCTCGCCTTCCGTCACCTTCGCGCCTCGTCCTGTGGCCCCTCCAGATTTGATAGCCTTCTTTCCCCCTCAGTCCAAAAAAGTCATTCGGAAGGAGAAAGGTAGAGCTAGGCTATTTTATGTACTTTATCTTATGTTGACGTAAAATAAAGGCCGGTGGGGGCTAGAGCTGGGTCTTCAGGTAAAGTTTGGGCAGTTAAGCCACCCCAAGTGGGGCGTGAGCTTTAACGGGGAAGGGCCTGGCCTGGTTCTCTTCAGGAGAGGCTCTTTGGTCCTCATGGCGGTGGGCGGTGGGGGTGGGGGAGGGGGAGGAGGTCACATAGCCGCTGCCTAAGCAGGTCTTAAGGGCCCGGGCAACCGGCACAAGTAAGGATCCAACTCCACATGGGTTGAAAAATCGTCTGCTAATCAAACCCTGTTGTTGTTAGGTCATTTTCCAGTCAAGTCCAACTCTTTATGACCACATTTGGGGTTTTCTTGCGATGAGATGTTTTTGAGTGGTTTGCCAGTAACTCTTTATGACCCCATTTGGTTGGGGGGTTTTCTTGGGGTGAGATGTTTTTGAGTGGTTTACCATTTCCTTCTCTATCGATCAAAAGATAGCGGTGCCCCAAGATAGCAGGAGGAAGATTCTGAGGATTTGCATGTAATCGGGGTTAAGTGACTTGCCTAGAGTCACACAGCGAGTGTTATGTGTCTGAGGCCGGATTTGAACTCGGGTCCTTCAGACTCCAGGATCGGCGCTCTATCCACTGCGCCACCTTAGCTGCCCCTTAGTGCTGTATCAAAGATCCTCTGTCATTTCTTAGGAAACTGTTCCAATATTGGAAAATGGAAGATGGGGAAAACGGGAGGACCCTTGGTCAACTGTCAAGTGACCATTAAAACATAGCAGAGGTCAAGGTTGTCTGCCTATCGCGACCGAGGTTCACAAGAGAGAGATGAAATTTTGTTTAGTAGACTGGGCAGGAAAGTAGACGTAATCCACTTTCCTGTCTCTGCTGATGACTACCAGTGGAATGTTAGGCAAATCACTTAAGTTGTCTAGGTCTAAGTTTCTTCATCTGTCCAGTGAGGCTATGGAACAGAGTGATAGAGAGATGCTCCTTTAACTTGAAATCCCCACCTATCTTGGGATCAGAAATGTTGGCTCCTAAATTGCCATAGAAGGAAGGTCCATGGAAGTAGTACTTTGAAAATAATTTTATGTTCTCATGAAATTGTGTCCTCAGGCAATTTGACTTGATTTTTCTCAATTTTAATTTCTTCATTTTCACAGAGTATTTTAGTGTGTGTTGCAGTTCATTTCACCATAGTTAATGCATTTAGATAAGTTCCATATGTTTACTTTGGGCTATGTTTGTTGATAAACCAGTTCTAAAATTGATTGTTTTAATGCTTTCTGGACTAAATATGAGCCCTTACTGCTTCAAAGACAAACCTTATTGACTATAATCCTTATAAAAAATACATTCTTGGAGGAACTTTTGCTGTCACATAATATTTTTAGCATCTCTAGTCCTACCTCATACGTTGCTGTGCTAAAATATTTATTTTTACAATGATATAGTAAAACTCAACTTGGCAAATTTGACCAGTATAGCTATTACTTCTATACTTCTGAGGTAGAGGAACAGTTTTTTTTTTTTTCCTATTTCTGAGACAGCATTTTGGCATTAAGATAAAAATAAAAGTCAGTCTTTCTAAGATTCTCAGCATAGCAGAACCCATCTTAAGATAAATTCACATATAGTAAGGAAAGAAATACTAGTTTACTGTATTTTTTCTAGAATTTTGGAACCTAACTTCCCTTAGGTTAGGTTGATGCATAGCATAGTACTTAAATTGAAGTGCTTTAGAATATACCCAGAAGAAATTGTTGGGAAAGGATTCATGATACTATAAATGTATTAATAATGCTGAAGATTTGGATCAGTTCTATTTGGAACTCATTTCTGCTTTTGCTGTATCCCTTGATACTAGCAGTAAAATAGAAATATCAGTTCAATGGATTAATTTACCTTCTGTTATTGGTATTTTTAAATTAAGGAAAAAGGAAATAGAAAGCATTTCTATGTCATCACTTTCAATGACATTTGTTAAGATGCCGTAAAAGTTGGTTGAGAGGCTGATCTAACTGTGGTTGTAAAAGTAACATTTTTCTTCCATTTCTAATTTCAGAAAAGTAGATTACAGGCCTCAAGTTTTAATGTTAAAAGTTTAAATGATGCAGTATATTAAAGAAAGGTTTTGAAAATAACTTTAAAGGATGTTCTTGGTTTACATTACCAGTGAATACGCTAATGATCAGTTTGATTCACTGAAACTTTATCTTGGCATTCTGAATATACATGAAACCTTCAATTTTCTTTATACAATTAAATAGAGCAGAAACCTCAGAGATCATCTAGTCCAACCCTTTCAGTTTGCCTGAAGAAAGTAAGGCTTTAAGAGGTTAAATAACTTGTCCAAATTAGCATAGTTAGTAAACTCAGCTGGGATTAGAATTCATGTCTTTTAAGTCCAAATCCATTTTACTTTCTACTATACCACAGAACTAATAAAGATTAACTGTTTTAATCCAAATGGATATTTTAAAAGGTTTATACTTTTTTTATACTTTTTTTTAACAATAGGAATGTCCATTTCTTTATTATATGAGGTTGTTGAATCTCTGGTAAGGTTCAGTCCTTGGCAGATTTCCACAAACACATATGTGCACACACCCTCTCCCAAATAGACAGCTTCCTTTATCCTATCCTTATAATAGGGTGATAATGATTCAGAATAGGTTTGGTATATTAATTTGTCTTCTGCCAGCGTGAATGCTAAATCTAAAGGTTTAGCAAAAGTGTCTATCACAGAGCCACAGGCAGACAAACTTAGATGATTCAGGTGTAGTTATTTTTCCTATGGCTGTGCAAATAAAAAATCCTTCAAAGAATCCCAGTTCTATTACATATTTCCTGTGTGACATTGGACAAGTCACTTATATGGGCTTCAGTTTTCTTCTCTGTAAAATTAGGTGAGTTTTAAGGTCCCTTCTAGCTCTAAATCTATGACTCTAATGTGGGCTCTTTTCTTACATTCACTGTAGGGTGTTAAAAACCTGGTAATCGTAATTGATGGTGAAGAAAAACAAAAGTAGGAAATTGAGATTATAGTTGTACTAGGCTATTTCCCCATCCCCTTATCCCGCAGCATTTTCAGCGGCACTGATGTTCGTTTTTGGGTGCTGGCTCCAGTTTTGGTCACGAGTTTATAGAAACAGAGCTGGAAGAGATCTCAGAAGGCCATCTGGTTCAATCCTCTCATTTTAAAGATGAGGAATCTGAGGCCCAGGGAGATTAAGTGACTTGTCCAAGGTCACACAGGTAGCAAGCACCAGAGAAGGGGGTTTTAACCTACAACTTCTAACTCCAGAGCGAATGCTTTTTCCGCACTAACTCACTGGTATAGAGGTGGAGGGAAGGGAAAGAAAAAAATAAGCAGTATCTTAAGGAAATAATGGCAATATAGTAAGTTGGCAGAAGAATTTAGGAGCCCCCCAAAGACCACTTTATCAGGTGTGACTTGGGACTTAAACAGAGAGAGAGAAAGATTATCAAGAGATGGCTACAAGTCATTCAGGAGGCTATAGGAGGAAGAGAAATTGTAATCCTTGAAAATCCTGCAAAGGTATAGCTGAGGATTTTTATTGCTCATTGTAATAGAGAGATCACTCCCAGAATTTAGGGGAAAGGCACCATCAAGGTGGTTTATGAAAACAAGGGCAAAAAGATTGCTAGTTTCAGTTGGCCTTTTATTTAGTTTTTGGCTAGCAAAGCCAAGAGTCATAAAAGTTCATTTAAACACAAGAGAAATGGATTTGAATAGTCTTATGTGTGACCTGCAAAGTCCTCACCATAATTAGAGAGAAAAGAAATACAGAAAAAGGAAGTAGGATGGGACCTGACACTAGGAATTAAACAAGATTTCTCATTACTAATATGAGAAAAAAGAAATAGAGAAAGGGAGGAAAATCTAGGTTAAGAGTAGTAATTAAATCCACAGATTTATGATTTTAAAATGAATAAATACAAACCACTTATAAGTTGAAAATATGCTAAATTCTTTTAAATATGTAAACTCATAAAATAAAGTGGCATTTGATGATTAAGTGTAATGTGCAGCTACCAGAAAGAAAATATTTAGAGCAGTCTCTTACACACTTTTAATAGAGTATCTAGGAATTTGATTTTCTCCCTGCCCAGCAACCTTTTAAAAAACTTGAATAATCAAATTGAAATTATATTTTTCTATCATCGGTGGAGCCTGGCTGTTTCTTATTAGGTGATGTAATGAGGAAAAATAATCAAGTATTTTCCGTTAGCAGGTATATCTTCACACTTGAGAATCCTTTCAAATTATTTTTGGAGCATATATATATATATATATATATATATATAATGAGAGATAACTGTGATACATTCAATAAAGTGCTGAATCTGTAGTTGGGAAGGCTTGAGCTCAAACACACACACACACACACACACACACACACACACTCTCTCAC